TTCTCACCACCACAGATCCCAGTATCCCTCCCACCCCCCATTCCCCCCATTTTTATGATGTGATAAATCGGAAATAACATAAATATCTAAAAACAATAGATTAAATTCCTTGATAGTCATCAAGTATAACATATACTCATATAAATGACATAAAAATTCACATTTATATTGTGTGTATGATTCATATATATATGGAAAGTTACTGATCATGAGAAAAGGTAGATTGCAATGCCAACTAAATTGAAACATTATTTTTAATACATAACATTGTACCTAAAAAGACATGCACCAAAATATTATCAGAAATTATATCTGAGTATATAAAGTGTCCCATAATTATTTTCTTCTCTATGAATATCTGTAATATTTTGGGGGGGGGTTACACCGGGTGATGCTAAGGAGTTACTCCTGGTTTTGCACTCAGGAATCACTCTTGGCGGTGCTCAGGGGACCATATTGGATGCTGGGAATCGAATTTGGGTCAGCCATGTGCAGGATAAATGCCCTATCTTTTATGCTATCACTTCAGCCCCGAATATCTGTATTTTATTTGATACTCTAGTAAATATTTTTTCCATCAGAAAAAAGGAGAAATGTTTTACATTTGAATATGTAGCATTTTCATCAACTAAAAAGTACAGAAGAAAAGATAAAATTGAAGAAAGAGCTCTGATAACTCAAAATGCAAGTGACTTGCTGCTCTTTTATGCCATCTCCTCTATGATAAAAATTTGCTAAAGCTCACCCTCAATCAAGGATTTTTTTGTAGATGTTTTAAATCAATTTTAATGTGACAGCAGACAGGTCACTTACAGAAACAAGTTTGTGGTACAGTTAGGCTTGGAATTTATGGAATCTACCAGGAGCCTCCACCACTGCCCCATTGTAAAAGAGGCTGGGATGGGGATAGACAGGGAAGGGAAAGCATCAGAGGAACAGAAACTAGGACTAAAGGATAATGATGCTATAGCATCAAAGGCAGGAGAGGAACAACATTCCAGTCAAGATGTGGAAGTGTAAATACCTACAACCCTGAGAAGAGCAAGTGGGTGTTTGATACATGTTTTTATTGTGCTGATGGTGAATAGTAAACAAACATCAAATTTAGAAAACTTAGCTTTCCTGTGTATGTAGTAAAAGCCATATTTTTAGTTAATTAATTAAGTTATTTATTTATTGAATCACTATGGGAAAAATTACAAAGCTTTCAAGTTTAAGTCTCGGTCATGCAATTATCAAACACATTTTCCTTTACTAATACTTATTTTTCACCACGAAGAACCCCAATAACACCCCCTCCAACCCTCCCAATGCCTGTGAAGCAGATGAATTCTAGTTAACACTCTATCTACTTTGATTAGATTCATTGTTTTGACAAAAGATGCACCATTATCATTTAGAGTTTACACCCCTAAATCAGACATGCTGAAAAGGCATTGTGAAATAATTTGTTTTCTACAACTAGTCACAAGAATCAAATGATGTTGCACTGCCGCTGTTGTGGCCACATGATTTTGGATTTCTGGTATTTTACTTATTAAGCCTGGAAGTATTTCTGCTAAGAGTCAGATAATTATGAGATTGGATTTTGTGCTCTGGAGGCATGGCCGTGCCAGAGAGCCACTCGTGGGGGGCAACTTCTGACCTTGGTAGGGTGTGAAGGATGAGCCGGGAATGCCCCCTTCCCATGAGGTTTCAGTCGCCCCATCACGACCGGCTCATATCTGACTTTCCATAAAGCTCCGAAGCGGCTCCCATCTTTCTTTCCAGAGGGAAAAAGGTGGAAGGGAGCAACACCCTTTCCCCTTCAGTCAGAAAAGCCATATTTTTAATTTTGAGTCCCCATGAATTTGATTTGTGTTCCTTTTAAGAGAATTTATTATCTTCCAATCCCCTAAGTACATATAAAATATGAGTTTGAAATGAGAACTACTCCCAAATCTGAAGGAAGTAGAAAGCTAACAAAAATTACCACAGAGGCAGTAGGTATCACCAGTCCTATTATGAAATTTATAATCTGTCTTCACGTGTGAACTGCTAATTGGTTTATTTGTTTATGTAGGAGCCATTCTAGATTACGATTGATAAAAGGCAAGGTAGTCTTACCGATGCTATCAAATATAAAAAGATAATACCACAGAAAGAATATAAAGTAAGGGTTAGTGAGTAGAGAGCCAGTGGATAGTCAATGTGTCTCTATTCCTGCCCAGAAAAAAAGTCACTAATTTCAACTTGATTGATTAGATCCTCAGAGAACACCCAGTGTCCTTTGCTATCTTTAATTCATAATTCAAATTCCAGCATATACCAAACAATGACTGAGGAGCCAAGTATAGAATCCAGCTCCATCACTGTAAAAATAACACAGTGGCATTTCTTTTCAAATATAACTCTTTTGAGTTTACTTAGTGCAACACAGTAACCCTGTCCCAATCCCCCGCCCATCCACCCAAATCATCACCTCTTGATAAACTGGCAAATGGCATTTTGGAGCTTGTAAAGCTGAAACCTAGTCCCTGGACCATGGTGACTTCACCTAGTGCTGCCAGCCCAGCATGGCAGAGCCAGCTGGCTTCATGCTACAGCCCAGAGAGATTGCTGGGGCTTCCTTAGCAGTCAGGGACTTGGAGCCAGACATTGCTTGGCCTTTCATCCGGTCACACTGTGATCTGGATTTCAATAGAAGAAATCTGATCTGAATTAGATCTGAGTTTCATCTCGGGGGCTTTTATCAGGACAAATGCCCAGCAGAAGGGTTCTCCACTCTGAACTTCTGTTTCTTCTATATAATACAGGTACAATGAAAGCTCTAACTCAAACAGTAAAGGAACTTTTGCTAGAGGTAGAAAGAAAAGCAATTTTTAAAATATGTCAAGTGTTGTGTAAATACTAGAGAATTTGATTGATTGTTAAGGCTATTCTTACTGATCGACATGACCCGTGTTTAGAGGATTCACTAGATATCCTTTCATTCATTTAACTTATCTGATATTTATTGAGCAATCACTATACAGAAAGGCACTGGGTGAGGTTCCAATATAGAGTATGAAATAAATACTTTTTAGAGTTTACATTCCACAGTGATAAATGCATACAAATATATACACAAAGTTCCCTCCCCCCACATATGGAAGTGATATATTTTAATGGATATATTGCTTACAATCTACTATAAAGAGATCATTTTGAAAGAAATATCTTTAAGCTGTTCACAGAAACTTTGGAAAGTGAGTTTTTCAGTTGTTTTTTCTTGCATGTGTAGAAGGAAGGAAGGTGCTCCCCCACTGCTCAGGGCCCATAGTGCTCAGGGGTCAGCTGGGATGTAACTAATTGGTGATCTTCGGGGCATACCTGTCAAAAATCAAACCCAGAGCTTTGAACATGCAAAGCTTGGAAACTAACCCTTGAATCACATTCCCAGTCACAAAATTGTCCATTTAAATAAAGAATAAGATTTCTACATAACTAGAATAGTTCATCTTGAGTCTGTCATTTTATATATGTAAAAAACAAGAAATTTAGAAATTTACCCAAATGCATGTTTGGGAGGGTGAGAGGAGGCAGTGGAAGGGACCTTGACACAGACATGAGAACTCAGATTATCCGCCCTCTAGTTGGTGCCTCTCTGTTGCATATTCTGCCTATAAGGGATTGTAAATGGCTCCTGTTTTAATGGTGCATTATAATTACCATGTGTTCATGCACTGTCTTCCTAGTACTAGAAATTGGATACACAGGACAATTGATTTTTTTCAAATTGATTTTTTTCAAACTTTGCTCCATGTAACATTATTATATTAATAGATGTTAACTGATTGCCACTTTTTGTTTTTTCTGGTGGTTTTTTTTTTTTTTGGTCATACCTGATGATGCTTACTCCTGCCTTTGTGTCCAGGGATCTTTCCTGGCGATGTTCAGGAGATCTTATGTGATACCAGGATCAAACCTGGGTCAACAGCATTCAAGGCAAGCCCCCTACCCATTGGACTATCTATCTGGTCCTGATTACTGCTTCTAAAAACTTATTTATTTGTTGGCTTTTTGGGGTCACACCTGGTGATGCTCAGGGGTTACTCCTGGTTCTGCAATCAGGAATTACTCCTGGCAGTGGTCAGGGGACTAACCATATGGGAAGTCGGGGATTGTACCTGGGTTGGCCTCATGTAAGGCAAACACCCTAATCGCTGTACTATCAGTCCAGTCCCCTGATTCCTGCTCTCAAAGTCTCTTTGTTAAATTAGGTTGGGATACTCTGCATCCACCTCCCATTACCCCACCATCCTACTTTAGAAAATCATAATGCCTCTTTAATTGTTATATTTCTGCACTGAGAAATAATCTCAATATAACTTTATATATATATATATTAACTTGTATAACTTTAAGAATAAGGTAAAAGGCCCTCCCGTTGATCGTCGATTTGTTCGAGCAGGCCCAGTAACGTCTCCATTGGAGACTTTGTTGTTACTGTGTTTGGCATATCGAATACTCTCGGTAGCTTGCCGGGCTCTCCGAGAGGGGCGGAGGAATCGAACGCGGGTCGGCCATGTTGGCCGCGTGTAAGGCGAACGCCCTACCCGCTGTGCTATCGCTCCAGCCCTAACTTTAATAAATTTTTTATAAATCAGATTTATTTATCAAGCATATTTGACAAAAGATCTACTTTTAATCACTAGACAGTTAATGTGATGGAGGTGCAGATGAAAAGTCGGGCCTTAGAAGCAATGTGATTGGCTTCTCAGTCAAGTTTGAGAAAGTAGAAAAGTAAAGCAAATGGATCACACCCTTTTGCAAAGGTCAGTGTCTGGGCTCAGAGGTACCCAGGCTGTCTCTGGCTATAGTAGCAATACCTGTAGAATGAACTTCTTTTCACTGGGTTCTTTAACATGGAATGGGAAACAAATGGAAGCTGAAAGAATATATTCTGATACATCTTTAAGTCTTTTTAAATGATCGTTTTAAGGCCTTTTAAAAATCATTTCCATTATTTTTACTTTTAGTTGTTCTGAAGCTCAGAGCACTCCAAAGGACTGTGACACCTTCGCAGACCATGCAAACAAGGTAGGGAGGCATCTTGGTTCCTAAGTAACTATGGTTCCTTGCAGCTGACAAGTCTTAGTCCTTGGGCATGCAGCCTGTTCTGTGGCTGTATGGTTGGGCTATCCCAACATGAAACTGTTAGTGATATTTTGAAGTCTTTGAGACAAAAGCCAGGCTTTCTAAAGAACTTTGGTTCAGCAGAGAGGCAGGGAGGTACAGCGAAGAGAGAATCAAAAGCCTGGAAATTTGCTGCTGAGAATAAACGCTAGCTGCTCCCCGAGGTGATTTGTCTGTGCACTCCACTCTCTACAGATGTTAGAGCCTCTTTCTGAGTAAGGACCCGAGGTTCTTTGGTAGCACTTTGATATCCTGCTCAAATTCAATATGTGAAATGGAGGCGTCTCTCTGTGACTTGGAGCCCACAGCAGGCTTTGAAGTCTGATCCAATTTTTGCTGCCTACTATTTGATGTTGAAAGGATGAAATGAAGAAAATGTACAGTTTTTGCCAGTAACTCTGCTGAGCATATGTAAGATTAAAAAAACAAAATCCTTTGGATGATGTACTTAGAAATGTTAAGTAGATTAATACCTTCCTATAGGTTTTATTTTTTTTCCCTAGGCGTAAAAATTAAGGCGAGGAGAAAATCAGTACACTCCTATTTTTATATTCTGGATTATAATTAATTTAAGAGGGGGCTACCTTGCCTTATTTAGAGGCAGAAAAGAATGAATGAAGCAAAAAAGTGTTGAGACTTTGCTACTGATTGCCCTAAGGAAGAGCACTCCATTCAATTCTGATGCAAGACCCCAATCAATTTAGCTTCTTTCCCATATAATCAAGGTTAAGTGAAATGAAAGCACTGTTCCTTAAGGCTACTTCATCAGAGGATGAAAATGGTTCGCGCACTGGGTTTTTTCTGAAGCACTGGGTTTCTGGAAGTGAGTCACTCTCTTCTCCACACCAGGCAGCTCAAGATCTCCAGGAACGGAGTCACTCAGTGGGAGCCCCTACAAAACCTGGTAAGGACATTTGAATTGTTTGCGACGTCTACCATTCACGTGCTTTGTGCTTTCCATCATGGTGGACTCAGGAAAGAAGATAACCTATTGTTTTCAAAAACTCTCAGGTTTGGGAAGTCTTAAGGGCTGGAAGCCAAACCTGTATTAAAGAAAGCAGTATACTACTGCCTAAGCTGTGCCAGTTAAGTTTACTTTTCAGAGGGAAGAAATAGACTATCACAGGTCATACTTTTCCCTTTTATTTGTAGGAATTTCAAAGAGAAAACTGCTATTTGGTTAAAGATAGATGAACAGTTGATCTGTTTACCATGAAGCAGATTTTTTGGGCCAAAATCAAGGCTTGGTAAAGAATGCAGGTGTAGAGAATAATTCTGCCCTCTTGGCACCAAGAACACAGACATCTTGCCACACTCCTTAGGGAAATAGGTATTTCTGGCCTATTTTCTAAATTCTTTGTTACAGATTATGGTAAAAAAGAAGTTTGGAGGCTAATATGGTGCTATAGTTAGTCATTCTGAAAGATAAAGTATGAGCCTGATCATAAGAACCAGAGATAGTAAAGACAAAATGGACCATTCCAGAGAAATAAAATTTTCAGGTAAAATATTGATATTAAACTTACTTGATGACCTTGTCTATTTTCCCAAAGGTGCAGTAATTTCTCAGGTCTCTCCAAATTTTTTCTTAGCTTATTTTTCAATGACAGCATAGTGCAATATGAAGTGGGAAAGGTATGATAAATGTGTTAATACCTTCAATCCATATGGAACATGAAGTCTTGGAGAGAGACAAAAGAGGATAAATGTATTATACAGAACATCCTAAATGGATATGCAAAAAATTATAAACCTGTCAAAAAGGAATGTTTTACTGACAGCCATATGGTGTTTAGAAATAAAGCCACATTAAGATAAGGGTAAGAATAATTTTTTTTAAAAAAAGGAGAATTTAAGAGAAATACTGTGGTGGAACAGAATTTATTGTGAAAAATTTTGCTAGGATTTTTCTATCGCTCCAAAATGTCTCACTTTATGACTGGGATGTCTAAACCATTTACATTTAATGTGATTGATATGCTTGGTTTGAATCTATCAACTTGCTATTTGTTTTATATTTATCACCATATGGTCTGTGTTTTCTTCTGTCATTCCACCTTAAAATACATATTGAATTCCTGGAACGGATGGGTGGCTTAATAGAAGAGCACATGACTGGCATGTGTAAGGCCCTGGGTTTGATGCTTAGCAGTGCCACAATTAACACTATCAAAATACATTGTAGAACATCTGAAGAGATAGTAAAGTAGGTAAGACACTGCCTTGTACACAGTAAACTTGGGTTTGATTCCCAGCATCCCATATGGTCTACTGAATTCAGTCAGGAGTGAGGCCGGAGCACAGAACCAGGAGTAAGCTCTTAGTACTGAGTTATGGCCCCAAAGCCAAATTTAGATAGATATGTGCTGGGTATGTATTATTCTTAAAAATAAATTATCAGAGGGTATGGTGCTGCCAGCAGGTCAATCTGTACCTGTGAGGCGAGTGCATCAGCAGCCTGATGGCACCGTCAGACTTCCAGATATCCCAGAATTGCTGCTGTGCCTTTGGCCAGACCCAAAAAACTTGGGGCAAAGTTTACCAAGAAAGTAAACAGCCAAAAGTTAGGTATGTGGGAGACACACCTACAAACCACCTCCGGCTCAGCTATATAATTGGAGGCATGGCCTCTGTGGTTCCTGATCAGACTGCTTAACAGCCAGGATCCCAGAGATTCAGAAACAAATCTCGAAACCCAATGGCTTTTGGCAGAAATGCGTCCAGTCCCTGAAGTAGGTTATCGGCGGCGTCCCACCCCAGGTAGGAATAGGTTTCATGCCTTGGCCTGTTCCCTCTGGCGGGCCAGTGGCTGCCATCTTCCAGAAGCCACTGGACAGTCAGGTTTGGGCCTGCAGTGACGAGACACCCGGGGCCACCCAGGATGGGGGTGGAGCCTGCCCTTTCCTCCCTGTCCCAACGAGACCCCGAGTCGCAGCACATAAATGGCCTCTCTGGCTCCTGATCAAGCTGCTTAATGGCCATGATCCCAGAGACTCAGAAACAAATCTCGGAACCCAACAGCTTTTGGCAAAAATGTGTCTGGCCCTCACAGTAGGTTACTGTCGCCGGGACACCCCAGGGGAAAAGGGTGCTGTCCCTCCACCTGCTCCCCCTTGGTGGTTCGGTGGCTGCCATCCTCCAGAGGCCATTAGACAGACAGGTTTGGACCCACAGTGATGAGACACATGGGGCCTTACGGGATGGGGGGTGGAGCTGGCCCTTTCCTCCCTGCCCCAATGAGACCCTGAGTCGCTGCCCATGAACAGCCTCTCTGGCTCCTGATCAAGCCGTTTAATGGCCATGATCCCAGAGACTCAGAAACAAATCTTGGAACCCAGCAGGTTTTGGCAGAAATCCTCCAGATTTAATTGTTGAAATTTCGGAATTTCAAAGTTGCGCAGCCACTGCTGCAGCTGCACAACATCATATGTTATTCACAACCAGCAATAGAAAACAAATTGTCTACTGTTGCCTTTTTGGCAGATCTGAGTGTTGGGGTAAAATCCCAAATAACAATGGTGGGAGAGAGAGAGTAATGTGGAAATCATCTGCTCCACAGATAGGGGGAGGGTGTGGAATGGGGGTATACTGGGGTTTTTGGTGGTGGAGAATGGGCACTGGTGAAGGGACGGGTGTTTCTTGTATGACCGAGACTTAAACCCCAAAGTTTTGTAACTGCTCTCATGGTGACTCAATAAATAAAATTATAAAAAATGAAAAAAAGTGAGGTGGAGTTCATGCCCAATTCAATCAGCCTAATCAGTGGCTGAGTAAATAGCAGTACTCCTATATAAAAAATTAAATAATTAAAATAAAATAAAATGTGATATTAGAATAGCTAAAGATACAGGTTTTGAAGACATATTTTCTTGGATCCAAATATCTATTCTTCTGTGTACTGTTATTTGTAAATTCCATAACAACTCCTTACACCAGTATATGCATATTTAAAATGGGGAAAATATAGTAGTTCTTATCTACAGGGTTATACTGAGAATAAAATAAACTAGTATAAGTAGGCATAGATCTACTTGACAACAAAGATTTATTTATATGTCAGTTGATGTCATGATATCTGCTATTGATATATATGTAAAATGAATGTGTAAGTATGAAGAAAGATGGAGAAATAAAAGTCTTATTATAAGGCATTAAGGTTTGGAAGGTAAGTGCAGGGGAGGTAAAATATATTCTTTTAAATTGATTGTTAAATAGACTTGTTTGATTAAAATGATCTTCCTAGACTTGGTGAGTGTATTCTAAGTCAAACTTTATTAGTTACACATTTAACTTTCTGTAAATGTCTCTATCTCTCTTCTTCCTTCCTTCCTTTCTTCCTTCCTTCTTCCTTCCTTCCTTCCTTCCTTCTTTCCTTCCTTTCTTCTTTCCTTCTCGCTTTCTTGCTTTCTTTCTCTCTTTCTTCCATAATTTTTTCTATATTTCTTGATATTGGACTACATCCCATGGTACACGGGGCTAATTCTAGCTCAGTGTTTAGGGCATATTTCCTGTCAGACCTCATAGGACCACATGGTGTTGGCAACTGAACCCAGGACTCCAGCCTGTAAAACATGTACTCAGACCTTTGAGCTTTCTCCCCAGCCCCAACAGCTAGACGGTTTGGTATTGGATATGTCTATTACCACTACTTTCTTATACACCATTAAACAATGACCAAAGTAGTCTTCTTGCTTTTATTCTTTATTCCTTCAACTTCTCTTATGACACAGATATCTGAGGAGCTTCTCCAAAACATACTGATGATGACATTGTCTTCCTCTGTATTCTTTATTGGTACCCTGTAACACTAGCATCACCTCTAAGTTTCTTGGCTTGGCAATCAATTTGTCTTTTTTTCTGCCCCAAACTTCCACTAACCTCTCTGTCTCATCCTTCCTGCCAGAAACTCAAGTAATTTTCCTCTGTCCAGTTGTATCCTTACTTGTGCTCTCTCTCGAGATCTTGTATGCACTGCATCCTCTACCCTCCTGTCCCTTTCTGTTTACTCTGGTCCACAGTGTCTCCCTTCTCTGGGCCCTTTGACTGTTTCATTTTGAGGGGGTAGGGTGGGGGTATTAGGGTCACACCTTGTGGTGCAATGGGCTTACTCCTGGCTCTGTGCTCAGTCATCACTCCTGGAGGACGTAAGGAACTCTATGTGGTGCCAGGGATTGAATCTGGGTCTCAATGCAAGTGCCCTACTTGTAGTATTATTGATTTGTGCACACCCTATCCCCACTCTCCTTCAATTCTTTCTTATATTACTTATCCTATCCTGCCTTATAGTATAGTTTTTCTCATGCATCGGCTGCATTTTAAATTCTCTGAAACCATACTTTGCATTTATGAAGTCTCTTCTTGGTCCTTGGTACATATAAATTCTTGAACTCCCAAAGCCCTGATGAAATATAATGAAATGAAACTCTTAAGTGAATCAGAAAAAATTGGGGTGTATGAGTGTTGGGCTGGAGTGATAGCACAGCAGTAGGGCGCTTACCTTGCACGTGGCCGACCCGACCAACCTGGGTTCAATTCCTCCGCCCCTCTTGGAGAGGCCGGCAAGCTACCAAGAGTATTTCACCCGCATGGCAAAGCCTGGCAAGCTACCCATGACATATTTGATATGCCAAACACAGTAACAACAAGCCTCAAAATGAAGACATTACTGGGCCCGCTTGAGCAAATCGATGAACAACGGGAGGACAGTGACAGTGAGTGACAGTATGAGAGTTATTTGGGCCACATCTAGCAATGCTCAGGGTTCACTCCTGGTGATGTTCAGCAAGCGTATGTGGTACAGGGCAAATCAGAGTTAGTGGGATGCAAGACAAGTGCCTTAACTCCTGTATTATCTTTTTAGTCCCAGAGTAACATTTTAAAGTGTATTTCTAAATAAGACTGAAA